TGGATTCTGACACGACCAAGAAGTTGGAGGCGTTTGTTGAGAATGTCAAGGGTGGGGACGGCTCGCACCTGGCCATCATCCCTCCTGGGCCAAACCTGCTCAGCGAGGAGCTGCAGGCGACACCTATTCTGGGCGGCGAGGGTGCTGGTCTCGGTGTTGGTGCTGCCGGTACGGAGGGCGGCGAAGCATTCGGCTTTGAAGATGCGGCAGAGAACGATCCGGAATTGGCGTTCGCACTGCGGCTATCCCTCGAGGAGGAAAAGAACCGACAGGAGAAGGAAAGGCGGGAGCGAGAGGAGCAGGAACGCAAAGCTGCCTTGGAAAAAATTCCGGAGGAGGGAGGAGAGTCCCAACAAAAGGAAAACGAGGAGTCATCCAAGGACAAGGACCAGGATGGAGACAAGATGGATACGGCATAGGAACAATACTATGATTGATCGTTTTTCTTCTCTCTTCACCTCGGAAATGGCTTATTAGTGCACAGCCGGCGTTATTTATGTTTTTTATGACTGTATAACTTTGAAACCGGTCGCAGGATGCTTTACTATGAGCTATGGCTGATAGATTGGTTTATCGAAGATCTACAGCAGAAATAAGATGCCTCGAAATTCGGCCATTGCCAGTCAGAAACATTCCTATTTATTTGCATCTGTACAGATTTCGCCAGCCCAGCAGTTGCAAAAGCCTAATCAGAGTGCCACGTTGTCCGTTCATAATCAACCCAAAAAGATGTCGTATCAAAGCATCATGAATGAGCATAAGAATAATAATAATCATCATAAACCTCCTTGCAATTTTACCCCACTATGTCCTCCCTCTCAACCACGTCGCCAGATGGCGATCGAACGCTTCACATCGCACCGGCATTTCCAGCTGGTAGAAGGGATTCTTCATGACGTAGTCGGCGTAGAGCTCGTACACTTTGCGCATCACGGCGTCGACATTGGGCATCAGCGGATCCGTAAACAGCAAGAATTTGGTCCCCGTGAGGGTCTGGAAGCAGGTGAGACGGAAACGGTCGGTTTCGAGGACCTCGATCCCCGTCTTGGGCAGGGAAGGGTTCGGGAGCGACCAGCCGGCCTGGGTGGGGGTCGATGTGCCTGAGGTGTTGCTACTGGCAGGGGCGTTGGAAGAGGGGATCAGAGGGGTTAACGAGCGGGTGATGGCATGGACACTGGAGAGAGCAGCCAATGTGTTTAGTACGACACCAGAAAGATAGCAGAGTAAAGCGATAGGACTGTCTGTTATGACGACCTACCCATGAAACGTTCCCGCCAGCACCAGGTAGTCGTTCGTCGAGAGTTTCTGCAGGCCAGCCTCGAAGTCCCGCTGGTAGATGAGGCCTCCGGCCTTGTTGATAATGATCAACGAGTAGACGGGCCTGGGTCAGAATCACAATGATCAGCTTGTTGTATTCCAGAGCGAACGGGTTCAACGACCAACAACACATACATTGCTGAGACAGCGCGACTAGGTCTGTCGTCAATTGGACAAAATACCCGTGTCGCTCATATGAAGAGGCTATCGTATTTGCAGCATCACTTGTCGCTCCTCTCTCTCGCGAACACCCTCTCTGGCTCTTTCTTCCTCCCCGTCTCGCCGGTTCACTTCGGTGGTAGGAGGGGAGGGGAAAAGAAAAGCGACAGGCGGAAGAATCTCGGTTGCTTCGCTGGTCCTTTTTGTCTTTTGCCGGTAATTGTCCTCGCGACTGATTGCGCGCAGTGGTCCGTGGAGGTATGCAAGCTCAGATCAGGTCATCGCTGGTGACGGTGGTGGGGGTGTCTCGACGACTCTCCGTCCGTGGGAGCTTTCCCCGTGGATCGTCGAGGGAGCATTATCTTGGCCGTCTAAACGGGACTGCCGCGGCTGAGCGTTAGGCGACGCTAGCTGCCATTAACCAATCAAATGTTATTTCTGGCGGCTAGCCGGTCACTTTTAGAGCGCCTCTATTGTGTTTAGTATACGGACCATTATACGGAGCACATACAGGGGAATTTGTATACCAGCGAGGCATATGCTTATTGATTGTTGACGGCCAGATTATGCTACGACAGGTTGCCTGCAAAGGACCTGAACGGTCGAAGGAAACGAGATTTATCGTTGCGTCAGCTGAGGTCTTTTTCGAAATACTCTTGATTATGCTACTCCGTACATTACGTTGTCACCGTGCATCGGAATACCGGTGTTGAATTCTTGCTGGAGATACTTTTTCTGTGGCTGATGCTTGACCATCTACTGCAAGAAGGCGTATCGAAGGGCCTTTTACGGATTTCGTCGGTGTAGATGACTTGATATGCAATGCTCCGTATGGCCTTATCTACCTTTGGCGGTATGACCGGTTTCATGACTGCCATAGAGACCAGGCAACTCATCCAGAAAGTACACAGAGCTGACTCTCAATTAAGCTCTCTCCGGTAATAAGACAGAGAAAGAAAACACAACTAACTAGCTTTATTTTTTTCGATTCTCTCTCCCCTGTTTCTGGTTGAACTGCTTTACTGGCTAATGCGTCTAGACAAGCCCGATTGCATCGTGCAGGGATCTAGGAGATCGAGAACCAGGGTGACCTCTTGCCTCTGGGTGGTGCGACGTTCACGAACCAGATGGCTGTCCTAAAATAGGCTCGTTCAGATCCAGCAAATGCTGAATCCCTGTAAAGGGTCGAAGGTTTGAAGATGGGAAAAGATCGGAGGTATAGCTGCAAGACTCAATGGGACGTTCCGCTGACTGTCACTCTGCCTCACCACCCGGGCAAACGTCTCCACTTCTGACAATGACAAGGCGTGGATTCTGCGCATTGTTTTAGCTCTGGGGGCGCTGCTAAGGAACCGCTTTCACAGTAGTCAAATTTGGACGTCGAGCGATTGTCTCGCTCCTCGCCCGAGTTATGGAAGTCGACAGTGTGCCACAGATCCAGGACAGCAGATAGAGATAGCGTCGCATACAAGTCCTGTGGAGGCGAGCTAGAATCTCACTGCATGGGTTGGTATCTGGATCGATTGGACGAGAGTTGCTAAAAGGGCAAGATCGATGCGGGCAACGCGCCCCAGGCAATGGCGTCCATTGCGGAGCGACAGCACCTTCCACTTCGGGACTCTGTGCCTGCGAGTCCCTCCACCACCGCTCTCACTCAGACAATGCAGAGGCGGACGACGCCCGCCCATGCAGTGTCCAGAAAAGAATCGCTCCTTTTGCTCACGAGGGCAGAGAAGGAATTACGATGCTGTCTTCGAAGATCGCACATACCAAGTACGGGGTCCTAAGGTAC